TGAGAATAAAACTCCAACTAAGAGTATCAAAAACTTTGGAAATATCCACCTTCATGGCTAAATTCCCAAAAAGACTTTTGTTGTGATGAGGTTGAATGCTTCTGAGGTCAGACACATGCAGTCTTTTATGTTCCTACCATGGATGAATGTTCTTTGTTCAAGAGAGATGATGGAGGGAAGAGTTGTAGCCAACCTATCAATAATGATCTCTGTCACAATCTTGTGCTTTAAATTATCAAGGGCAATGGGCCTGTAGTGCTCGGTAAATTTTGCATTTGGGATTTTAGGAATCAATACTAAGATGTTGGCATTGTAGTTGGGAATAATCCACCCTTCACTAAAGAATTGATTGACTGCCTTCACCATATCATTCTTGATAATCTCCCTGTAGGTTTGAAAGAAAACTTCTCAAACCCATATGGGCCTGGAGCACTGTCTTTGTCAAGGCTCATGGTAATTTATGCTAATGAAGATGTTTGACTATAGGTAAGAGACTAGTTGAAGTGTCATGTTTGAGACCATTTTGGAATGCCTCCATGGACATTTCTTGGTTTGGGTGGACGAACCTTATGGTAGCTTCATTGAAATAGGTAAGGTTATCCCTCAATGACACTAAGGGGCAATATCATATGTTAAACAGGTTGGTGGTGGACATGTTCCTATGCCGATTGGCTACAAAATAATGTATGAGTTTCTTCACCAGCTCCTGATAGTTGGCGATGGAAGCTCATGGTAGGGTATATACCATAATAATTGTGTCTCTGAAAATTCTAGACAATAGTTTTCACTTCAGAGAGTCAGGTGCACCGATGATGCCGATTAATGTGTTGATGGATGTGACGTGGTCATAAGGATGACTATGACCATCAAGCTTCGCCAATGAGGGATGTTAAGACCCTTAGGGGACTGAAGCTTCCCATATTTTGTCTAGAAGTGGCTAAAGGTCCAACACCTCCATATTATTTGAGGGGTTAACCTCTTGCTGGCACAATAGGATGTTAAAGACATTGTCCTCCATTGATTCAGACGATGCGGTTCATCCATGCCGACACGCATCACCACTAGGGCATCGATATCACTGCTACCTCTAGTATCTTATGGCATGGAAGATTATACTCTTCTAACAACCATGGTTGGGAATAATTAGGTTTAAGAGTGAAGATGATAGTGAGTATCAAAGTGTTACTGTAACAAAATGTGTGACCCATGTTAATATTGTCGAGATCCCACGATGGGCGCCATTGTACTTGTAAAAAATTATAGGATGTGTGGTACACCTAAGTTAGTTAGGGATTTCCTATGGTGGTGAGATGTCCTATTATGTGGTGTTTACAATGATGAAAGAACAAGCTTACGTGAGGCGATGATCTCTGTGACTTTTATGGGGTATTATGTGTATTTACGATATACCCCCTCAACCATAAGGTTGAGGTATTTATAAAGGAGTACGAGTATAGGATTATGGGAACCCTCAAGAAGTTATAGTCACCCATTGACTTGGGGGGAATTATTAATGGCCTATTTCTTAGAAAGTCATTGCATGACTCCGCACATGCAGTTAGGGACTGGATAAATTATATTATCCATGTCTTCCCTTAGGTCGAGCCACCTTACCATGTAAAAGACACATCTTGGGTGGTGCGTTATGGGGTGAACACCCAACAAAGGACATATGCGGCCCTATTTCGGGGCCCTTACAAATATATTACTACACCGAGGAACACAACACCCGAGATATCCCAGGTCATTAAGAAAGTTCATCAATTTCTTTTTTCTGATACAACTCTTACCGATAAAAGTCTTCCTCTTTGTACATATAAAACCCATTTCCCATGAGGAAATGACTCTCGACCCAGTACTTGAGGAACAACATAGTACATTTACCCTCTACTTCATTCTCAATAATGTAAAGAATTGCATGATCCTCTAGGGGGATATGGGTGACCATAAAGAATCGATCTTCAAAATGTTACAAGTCCTTTGAAAAAGTTATGAAGCCCCTGACGGCCGACACCATATAAATTAAGTCTATACCCCATGGGCAAGTCAAAGGGCCACAACAAAATTTGAAAAGATGGAAGAAAATGGTTGGGGAAGGATTCCTCTTCAAGTATTCACGCAAATGCTGAAAAACTTTCACATACGCATAACTTGTTGGATGAAGTTGTGATGAAGCCGCCATCAATTGCTTAAAAAATTCCATCTTAAAATCATTAAAGGCAACATAAAGGTTTAGGATTGATAAAATGCATTCATAAAAGGGAATGGCACAATCTCTGTATTTGTTGCATATGCAATCATTTTTTCCAGGGATCAAGACACCAAAATTTGAAGATGGACCCACCTCAAGAAAGGCTGCATCAAGATTACCCTATTTGGCAAAGACATAAATGACTGAAGAATAAGTAGAGTCCACCCAAGAAGATTGAGCATTGTTCTGGAGCTTTGGAGCACTCTTTTTTGATTTTTTTACCCATGATGTAATGACTTTTCTAGATACATGACATCAAAATATCAAAAGGAATGAAGATAACAACAAATTAAGAAAGACAACTCAAATAAATGGGAAGTTGACTCTTCAAAAATCATATGCTAGCATGAAAAAGGAAATAAAAAGAGAAAATAGACTCTATCAAACACTTCAAACCACTCACACACAATACTTAAGTGTTCTAGTTCTCAAGGGTCATGATGAAGATACCTTCAAAAAGACGTTTGCGATATGGGGCACTAAAGGCGTAAAGTCCCAAGAAACTAAAATGTCTACTCTTGTTATTCTGGGAATTATGAAAGAATGGTTGTCCATCGAGGCTAATACGACAAACCCTTGCCTTGCTATGCAGAAACAAGGGCTTGGGAGGCAACTGTTATGGGTTGACCATATTGATTCTCGACTGACCACTCTAAAGGAGCCACAATCCTTCCAAAATCTTTCCAGCAAGCGAGAACTGCCTATGTAGAAGAATATAGATGATCTAGACTCCCAGTGCATCTGACGACTATCTGTAATTTACTCATAGCAAATAACAAGTCTGTTATTTCATCTTATATATATATATATATATATATATATATATATATATATATATATATATATATATATATATATATATATATATATATATATATATATATATATATATATATATATATATATATATATATATATATATATATATATATATATATATATATATATATATATATATATATATATATATATATATATATAACGCCAATTTAAGTATTGAGTTTCAAATTCAATTTTAATTCACTCTTACTAAGTTGAGCGTTGGAGTGCTAACCTTGCAGGTCAGCTCACTCTCTGCTGCACTGAAAGCTCTAATCACCCATTATCACCAATTCTTACTCCATTTCTAGTTCCAATACATAACAAATATTATGACATGTTATCTTTTTCAGAGATTCATCCACGATCTATTTTGTGAAATAATCGATGAGAATGATTGAGTATTTTAACTAATAAATAGCCAATGAGCGATAAAAGACTTTGGGGATTATATTATCATTTCATGATAGACCAATCAAACAATTCATCATTTTTCTACATGCATCTGACTAGTCAGTCTTGTATGAACTTAGGCAATTCGACCCCAATCTTGACGACTATTATAGGGTCACTTCTTTATGCGGTCTCGATGAACTCCCCATTGGGTTTGATGTGTTCAAACTTATATCTTGCCTCAAAAGGTATTGTTTCATCGTTATCTCCTTCATTTTTTAGGGGTTGTTTCTCTATCCAAACTTCTAATTTGAGTGGTCATTTTGTGACAAGTTTGATAACATCAATCTCTTTTCACGACTAATGCTTTAGCAATAAGGCTAACAAATGCGAGACGTTTCTAAATCTGTTTTGAGCACGATAACTTTATCGATATTAACATGAAGTTTTAAATTTAAATTGATCATCAACGACACCATACACAACCCCCACCAGTGTTGGCCTCCCCATATTACAATTGTAACCAATTTTACATCTAATTATTAAGAACTTGACCACGATGACTCTTCTACGCTCGTTTGTATGGGATGCTATTGGAACTCCACATACCTTGAGACAAGTTCGACAACCTTAATCCTCTTTGATGAGTGGTTATTTACGAGTGAGGCTAAAAATGTGAGATACTTCTAAGTCTGTTTTGATTACGTCAACTTTACCAACATTAGCGTGACATTTTAACTTCAAATGGATTGTTAACAACACCACACTTAACCCCCACTAGCGTCAACCTCACCACATTATAATTATTATCAAATTTACATCCAATTATCAAGAACTTTACAATGACGACTCTTCTACATTTGCTTTTCTAAGACGCTAACGGTAACTCCACATACACTAAGGATCTGTGTCAGAACCATCAAACCAGATTTCCATCGTAGTAAGGTTGTAGAATGTATCATACATATTCACCATTATTAGTAATGAAACATAATAGATTGGTAAACCGTTGATCCATTTTTCAACATATAAAGATACAAGTCTTTCTCCGTCTTGATACCAAACACGTATTAAAATGTAGATGTAATCCTTCAAATATTCATTCCAAAATCTTTCAAAAATCAACTCCTGAACAAACTTAAGAAAATTGCTCTTTGAATGGAGAATAACAAAAAATTGTAAACGATTATTTATTTTACCTTTAGTTAAAGCATTAATGCATTAATGAGTAGGTCTTCCAAAATCTACAAAATAAAGAAATTATAAGGGGAATTTACGTAAGTCAAAATGAAAAAGAAAAAATGAATCTTATAAATTTTAAACTTTTACTATACTATAAATATAAATATACATTCTTCAAAAAAAATTTCAAATTTGATTTTTCAATTCCTAAATTTAAGATATTAGTTAGCATTTGCCAATTAATTCCACAAGAACTTTAGGCAAGTATGTGATGCCACTCCGTATACATGGACGGATACCATACTAGTTTGAGTAATAAAGTGTAAAAATTGGAAGAAAAAATATACACATAATCATGACTCACAATCACAACAAGATAGTAACAGAAGTGAAGAAAGAGTGGTGCGAAATTTACTGTCCTTTGCCTTATTTTACTGATCTACCGAATCTAATTCACCGACGTGTCAGTCGGTCACATTTTACACATTGTGAAACCAATTCCCTCTCTCTTGCATTTTGCAATTTGGCATCAGTCGGTTATCACTTGGTCAATTACCCTAAGGTTTAGGAAATACATAAAATACTAATAAAATATTCTGGGTATTTTCGAGATTCAATATCAAAAATTTATTTATAAACCAACAAATTAAAATAATTTGGGTTTTGTTTTGTTTTGTTGGGTTGGGTTTTTGTTTTTGTTTTTGGTTCTATCATCGTGTATTTAATCCTCGTTTTCTTGTTCAAATGGAACAAAACCCTAAGGGTTCTTGCAAGAACCAATCGCCGCCAGATTGATTTTCTCTCTTCTCTTTCTCTTTTCATCTTGTTATTATTGCACCATTCGTAACTACTCTTTCTGTTTTCAGCTTCGACAACTATTGAGGAAAGAGCTTCATTTTTTTTCTGCTTCTAGTAACTAACTGTAAGTCAGAATTTTCTTTAGCTACTGTTAATATATTGGGAATGACTGTTTATGGTTTGTGATGATGAAAAGATTCAGTTTTTAGGTTTTTTTGGATTAGGGTTTGATAATTAGTGTTTGGTAGTGATCGGTTTGATATTATTGGGTTTAGTTTTTTGAAAATGTTGTCTGAGTTGGAAACACGACCGGTTCTTGGTAATAACGAGGGGTATTATGGTGATGAATTGGAGAAAGAAATAGGGATGTTGCTTCGCGACCAACGGCGACAAGAGGGCGGGCGACAAGAAGGCGATGATCGTGATCGCGAACGGGAGCTTAATATATATAGGAGTGGATCAGCTCCACCTACTGTGGAAGGTTCTTTGAGTGCAGTTGGAGGATTGTTTGGCGGGGGTGTTGGTGGTGGTGGTGGAAGTGGTGCAGCTGGTTTTTCGGATTTTGCTGGGAGTAAGGATGTCAATGGAGTTGTTTCGGAGGAAGAGCTTAGGTCGGATCCAGCTTATCTTTCGTATTATTATTCGAATGTGAATTTGAATCCTAGGCTTCCACCTCCGTTGTTGTCGAAAGAGGATTGGAGGTTTCAGCAAAGACTGAAAGGTGGAAGCTCGGGTGTAGGTGGAATTGGAGATAGGAGGAAAGGTAATATGAGTGATGATAATGGTGGTAGGGCAATGTTTTCGACGCCGCCGGGTTTTAACTTTAGGAAGCAAGAAAGGAATGAGGTGGATGCTGAAAAACCAAGAGGCTCGGCTGAATGGGGTGGCGATGGTCTTATTGGTTTACCTGGCTTAGGGCTTAGGAACAAGCAAAAGAGCCTTGCAGAGATTTTTCAGGTAGTCTGCTTCTCTTTTTGTGTGTTATCAACTTTTTTTTAGCTTTGTTAATAGCTCAGTTTCTTTTCTTCCTGTTGTTAAGTTAAGCTTGGTTGAGAACTGATTTAGGTGTTCAGGTTCAGGTGTTCAGTTACTCTTTTGTTGGGAAAATTGTGCTTTTTCTATTTAATGCTGCATTGGATTATTGAATTGAATAATGTAGTCTGTACTCTGAATATTCTATCTGTTTGAAGGTTTTGATTTTAATGTTATGATGTGTGATCCTGTTTTGGCAGTTCTGATTAATGATTGCAATTATTTTGATTAATCAAATGGTAACTGACACCATTAATCTGTGGCTTTTGGCTTCTAGCTCAATGTGATGATAATGGGCAGCATGACATTTTATGAATTTTACAGAATCTTTTTTATTTTTTCATATATTTTGACTAATGTTCCTTCATGATTGATTCTCCTGTGGTATCTAATCTTGGTTTCATGATTGTTTACCCACTTCATGTAGCTCATTTTTCTTGCATTCAAGTAAAATATTTTGCACTCATATTTTTTCAAGCCATATATTTTTTTAGCTTTTGCGGGGTTTACACCTTACGGCAGTTTTGATGAGTTTTTGTATGGCACATTTTTATACCTATCAGTGTTGAAGCAGAGTATATGTTTATATTGGCCTTGCATCCAATTATTCTCATATATTAAGATTATTCTTAATTTCTTTTTGCATTTTTAAAGTTTTCATTCTAATGCACTTGCCAAAATACTGGCACTGTTTAGCCTTTCTATTTGATATTTTATTTACCTGTTGGTTATTCATCTATATTTGAATTTAAATTTTCAATTACCTTTGGAAATTGGCATCTATATGTTGATTTTTGATTTGTTAATCTATATTTTCAGTTACACTTTTATCCAAATTAAAATTTTCCGTTACTGTGGGTAACTAGTATCTAAGTGTACCCTTTGTATCCCTTTATAAATATGTATTTCTCTCTATCTTTTTGAAAAATGAAATTCCTAGACATCTTGTCACAATATCTATATACATTTACTTGTTATCATCTTAGTTTGGCATTTTGCTAGTGAATTTAGCATATACTTGCTTTGTTATTCTACCCGTAGTTGTTGACCATTAATTTTGTAGGATGATATGGAGCAGAGGCCTTCCTTCTCGTCCACAGGCCTTCCTTCTCGTCCAGCAAGTCGTAATGCATTTGATGAAAATGTTGATGTCTTAAATACTTCTGAAGCAGAGTTGACTCACGTTCAAGGATCATCTGCAACACAAAATATTGGTCTACCAACTTCATATTCTTATGCTGCTGCTCTAGGAGGGTCTTCACTGTCAAGAAGCACTACTCCTGATCCACAACATGTTGCAAGGGCTCCTAGTCCATGCCTCACACCTATTGGTGGAGGGAGAAGTGTTGCTTCGGACAAGAGAGGTATTATCAGTTCAGATGCATTTAACGGTGTTTCATCCGGCAAGAATGAGTCAGCAGATCTTGTGGCTGCATTGTCAGGGATGAACTTGTCAGCAGGTGATGAAAACCATCTGCCATCACAAGTTGAATCAGACGTTGATAATCATCAGAGATACCTTTTTGGCGGTATGCAGGGTGGTCAAGATCATGCAAAGCAACATGCATATCTAAAAAAATCTGAATCAGGGCATTTGCAGAATTCGGTTAAGAGCAGGAGTGGATCGGATCTCACTAATCTATCTCTGCATCGGCAGGTTGATCTGCAAAACTCATCCGCTCCTTCAAATAACTCGTATTTCAAAGGATCGCCTACCTCCCATTTTAGCGTAGGAGGTAATTTGCCTGCTCAGTACCAGGGTATTGATGGTATGAATTCGTCATTTACTAACTATGGCGTAAGTGGTTATGCCGGAAATCCCGCTTTGACATCCTTGATGACTAACCAATATGGCACCAGTAATTTGCCACCCTTGTTTGAAAATGTTGCCGCAGCATCAGCAATGGCATCCCCAGGAATGGACTCGAGATTTCTTGGAGTTGGTTTGGCTTCTGGAGCTGGTTCTCCTTCTGATGTGCATAGCCTTGGTCGGATGGGAAATCAAATTGCAGGGGGCGGTCTTCAGGCTCCGTTTGTTGATCCGATGTATCTTCAGTACATGAGGACATCTGAATATGCTGCAGCACAACTTGCTGCTCTTAATGACCCGTCTGTGGACAGGAACTACTTGGGCAATTCATACATGAATTTACTCGAGCTTCAGAAAGCTTACCTTGGGTCTGTCCTCTCGCCTCAGAAGTCACAATACAATGTACCACTGGGTGGTAAATCAGCAAACTCCAATCACCATGGTTATTATGGAAATCCAGCATATGGGGTTGGGTTGTCTTATCCAGGAAATCCGATGGCAAACTCTGCTTCTCCAGTTGCGTCTGGAAGTCCCATCAGACACAACGATCTAAACATGCGTTTTGCTTCTGGAATGAGGAACTTAGCTGGGGTCTGGAATGGGAACTTAGCTGGGAACATGGATGAAAGCTTTGCTTCTTCTCTGTTGGAAGAGTTCAAGAGCAATAAAGCCAAGTGTTTTGAGCTCTCTGAAATTGCTGGACATGTTGTTGAATTCAGGTATATTTTGTTACCTGTTGGTCTTTTGATGTATTTTTATTCTGCCACTGAAAGTTAAATTCAATTAATTTGCTATCATTAACAGTGCGGATCAATATGGGAGCCGATTTATTCAACAGAAGCTTGAAACAGCAACTACAGAAGAAAAAAACATGGTTTATCAGGAAATCATGCCACATGCTCTTGTTTTGATGACTGATGTCTTTGGTAATTATGTGGTTCAAAAGGTAAAAATTATTACTCTCAGTTAATTATTCCGTTTCATGGATCTGGTTTGAACAATAGTTGATTTACATCGTGCAGTTTTTTGAGCATGGACTTGCACCCCAGAGAAGAGAATTAGCCAACAAGCTTCTTGGCCATGTCCTGACACTTAGTCTTCAAATGTATGGTTGTCGGGTCATCCAGAAGGTATTGATGATTTAGGTTGGCAATAGTCGATATATTTATGTCTTCCTATCTGTTATTTTCTTGGATATCTCATCAATATTTTCCTCTGTTCTTTCAATTATGAATCCCTTTTCAGGCCATTGAAGTTGTTGATCTGGATCAGAAAATAGAGATGGTTCAAGAGCTCGATGGTAATATCATGCGCTGTGTACGTGATCAGAATGGTAATCATGTTATTCAGAAGTGCATTGAATGTGTCCCAGAAGATGCAATTGACTTTATTGTTTCAACATTTTTTGATCAAGTTGTGACACTCTCTACCCATCCATATGGTTGTCGTGTGATACAAGTAAGATTTCTGAACTGCTTTTGTTACTGTTTTAATATTACACATCTAAAAATCATGTCACATTATAACAAACTTTTATTTTTAAATTTATATGCCATAATAATTTCTTCATATGGCAGAGAGTACTGGAGCACTGCGAAAACCCTGCAACACAGCAGAAAGTTATGGACGAGATTTTAAGTTCTGTTAGTATGTTAGCTCAGGATCAGTATGGCAACTACGTTGTTCAGGTTTTTATTTTATTTTTCTGACTAAAGGCCCTTTTAAACTTATTTTGTCGGTTATCATTTACTTTCATTTATTATTAATGCTGCTTGAAAATTGTTACATATCATTAATTATTTCAAAATCTGTTGCTTTATGTTGTGACATCCTGTTAATATGTTTTCCGAGGTTGGTTCTTCGCAAATGAAACATGTTTTCGGTCTCCACTTTGCCCAATTTCACGGCTACCTTATTAATTTTACAGTGTTTGTCATCACTTCCTTTGATATTCATATAGTATGTCATTTAAACATTTGAGTTGATATCTTGTTTTGTTTCCTTTTTCTGCATAATAACAGCATGTACTGGAACATGGGAAGCCTCACGAGCGTTCTACTATAATAAAGGAATTAGCAGGGAGGATAGTTCAAATGAGTCAACAAAAGTTTGCCTCCAATGTTGTGGAGAAATGCTTGACCTTCAGTGGTCCTTCAGAACGCCAAATACTAGTCAGTGAGATGCTTGGAACCACGGATGAAAATGAGCCTCTTCAGGTTTTTTGAACTCTTTCTAATATGTATCACTAGTCTTCTTTATTTGATGATAAATTAGAAAGCAATATGCATTTTAAATTCACTCTCATAAGCTGATTGAACCTTTGTTTTAGGTTTAGTGCAATGATGAATGATCTCATTATTTTTTTACTGTAATATCTGGTTGGCTGAGACGCCTTAAGCAAGTGATCAGTTTTTTTGATTCCTAACCGTTGTTTATGAAGAAATCTATGTTGGGAGAAGAGAATTCATCTTGCGTGTTTCGTTGGTTCTCCGACAAAGATTAGTCATTCCTAAATAACGATGAATGCTTGATACTTGATTAAGAAAAAAAGTGCCACTATAGTTAATTTATAATATGCTAAGAGCTGACAAATCTTTGTCACTCATTCAGTTAGGATGGTTTTCCCCTTTCTGTGAAATGCTAAAATTACATTCCTCTTGTATGCAGGCAATGATGAAAGATCAGTTTGCAAATTATGTCGTCCAAAAGGTGCTGGAAACATGTGACGACCATCAACGTGAGCTGATTCTTTCGCGAATCAAAGTTCATTTGAATGCATTGAAAAAATACACTTATGGAAAGCATATTGTTGCACGTGTAGAGAAACTCGTTGCTGCTGGAGGTACTTTTCCATGTTATTCCCCATTTCCATTCTCATACTCCCTGTTGCACTTAACACGTTTGTTAACTGGTGATGTAATCTGTTGCAGAAAGAAGAATTGCTGCTCAGACACCACAACCTGCTTAGGCGTGACATAGAAAAATAATGTTCGTTTGTAGTTTGTACAGCTAGCTAACTGAGCTTAGTGCAAGCTTCTTCATCAAGAGTCTATATGTTTCCGCAGATTGAAAATAAAGTTGTTGATTGTACTGCAAAAATGTGTACATTTGTAGCCTTTTAAGTTTATACATAGAATTTCAAGCAAGATGAGGTTCAGATGTTTCCCTGCAGAGAAGATGAAAATATTATGGTGATGATGACTATACAGGCCTTTTTTCACGGTGTAATGTTTATAAAACGGTGAGGTAGTTTTACATCTTTACGCACTGTACAAAACAAAATCATGCTTTGTGGAGCAATTGACAGTTTATTTTCTAAGTATAAATTTTCTTGAAAGTTTATTTTCCATTTTCTAAGTATAAATTTTCTTGAAAGTTTATTTTCCATTTTCTGTCGTGAATGCGATTATAATCTTTTATTATTATAATCTTTTATTATTATTATTATTATTATTATTATTATTATTATTATTATTATTATTATTATTATTGTTGTTATTGTTATTATTAGTATTATTATTATTTTTTATTTTTATTATTTTTATTATTATTATTATTATTATTATTATTATTATTATTATTATTATTATTATTATTATTATTATTATTATCAATTATTATTATTATTATTATTATTATTCTTATTATTATTAAACGATTTTTTTTGTAAAAATCGTCAAGAATTTTTTTTCTTCATTTTTCTGGACATGATTTTATTAATCAGTTTCTTTATTATTCTTAACCTTACGTTTCGTATCCATAACTTTCAAAAGTATCCAAAAACTTTTTAAAAATATCAGATTTTTGATCTATGATTAAATTGAATACCAAAAAATGTTATTTTAAATTTTATTTTATTCCTTATATTTTACTAGTAACAAACCGTGTAATAGTATGGATTAATAGTAAATTTTTATTTATAAAAATATTTAAATTAATAATTGATATAGACTTTTTTTCTATAATATTTTTTTGTTTCTCCCATATACAAAAGTATGTGGATAAACGATATGTAATTTTTCTATATAATAAAATAGTTATATATTTATTATTTTCATGAATAATATATTTTTTGTGTTTACATCAATGATACATTTCTTCAACTATTTTTTAATCATATGAATATCAATAATCAACACTTATTTTTTTTAGACCAACAATATATTTTTATTTTGTTACAATATAAATAGACATAAATAACATAATGAGAGTAAATTAACATATATCTCAAAGAAGGTGTTATAATTGACTTCACAAAAATAATAAAGAAATTAAACATGCATACTGGTCATGATCATAACACGTATTCAAATTCATGGTTCATACGCCATATCATAAAGACTAGGCACTGTGGCCAAACATCACATAATCTCATACATATCCAAATAAAAGAGAGTAATAACAAATATCTCTCAAAACAAATCAAACATGATAAACAACTCTACCATAAGTCTTAGCTAGGGATGCCAATGGGGCGGGGCGGGGCCGGAGGGACACTTCCCCATCTTTTTTCCCGCCATCAAATTCATTCCCCGTCCCCGATCTCCGTCACGGAGGAATTTCTATCCCCATCCCCGTTCCCCGCGGATCCCCGTTCCCCGCGGGGATCCCCATAGATCCTACATTTATTCATTAATATTTTATTTTTTTAAAATGTTTATATTTTCTATAAAAATAAAAAACACAAAGAATTCACATATTTATTATGTTATTAAAAAATACTAGTATTTGACATTTATTATTTTTTATTAAAAATACTAATGGAACACAAAATAATAATATTTTTTTTATAAATTTCTATAAAATGCTATAAAATTCAACAAAATGAACTATAATACTTTTTAAAGTAACAATATGCCTAAACAACTAAAAAAATCCAACAACATAATTATGCTTAAAAAACTATACTTCATCAAAACTAATAAGGGATAATTATAAAATTTAGCATCATGAGTATGCTTGAAAAGCTAAAAAATACTTCATAATAAGTCAACTAAAAGCAAAAGTCAACATATCTCTATTTGCTCAATTGATAACACACGTAAAGTAGAAATATCAAAATACTTAAAACAAAGTTACATATAAATAAACTAAAATATTAAGCAAAATATCCAAACAAGTAATGATCAATCATGTCTCTCTTTCCAACTTCTCCTTGCAAGGTCTTCTTCCTCATTCCACAATTAGATATGACTTTCTTTTTCCTACGAAAAGTAAACAATCAATAATTATATTTACTTAAAAAAATACTTTAAAAACTAAAAGATAATCAACACTAATATGTAAATTACCTTATTGATGAAATTGTAAGAGCTGTGAATAATGGAAGCACACCAAATAGAGAAGATGGAATTGGAAGAGGAAGATGAATGGAGATTTGACTGGAGAAGAAAAAAAGGAGTCTAACGTGTGAGACTCTAAATGTCTGGCAGAAGAAAATGAAACGCTTCAACTTTTTTAGGGTCTAATATTTACATTTCTCTCTCTTAATAAATACATGAATATTTATTTATTTATTTTTATAAATAAACATAAAGGAAATGACTAAAAAACCTAATCTAAAATATATATATATATTAAATTAACGATATTAAAATAATAGGCGGGGCGGGGTCCCCGCGGGGCGGGAGGTGTATTCCCCGTCCCCGTCCCCGAAATGCTCTCGGGGGAATTTTTCTCCCCATCCCCGCCCCCACGGGGGAAAATTCCCCATCTTTGGGGCCCCGAACGGGGCGTTCCCCGCGGGGATCCCCATTAACAGGTCCAAACTGACATCCCTAGTCTTAGCGGATAATCCCAATTTAGGTTGAATAGTATAGTACAGTAGATTTTCCTATGTTCCATAATTTGATTATGGAAATAGATATATATAATAACAAATTAGTAAAAAAAAGAAAATATACGAAGAAATTCGCGTTCGAATATCTCTCATGTTACATAGATCAGAATAATGATTCACTATCTAGAAATAAATAGATAAATAAGGATCTAGCTCTTCCTCTAATTCGGGCAAGAAGTACCGCTATCTCTGGTACCTGAGCGATATCGTATAAAATATCATTACAGAAAGGTGAATATTCATATCATGAGAATATATAATCATAAGCAATGTAAAATATACATACACCAATATGAATTCATCACTCTTCATAAAACCACGTTTTAAACATAACATAATCCAATATACCAATCCACATATACAACATAGCTCATCAATTCATATTTCAAATGAAATTCAATTCAAATTATCACAATTAAATCAATTATCACATGTTGTACATCAAAACACCACATTCACATTAATATTACATAATGAGTGATAATGCAATAATTCACATCGACACATGTGACTCTAATGTAACTCAAATGCATTATGCATGTGATATGAATGTTATCCGTACCGGTCCTGTCGGGTCCACATCTCCAAGACAGATTACCACCAATAGAAGCCTGATTCAACCTTAAGCTTTCAAGTCCTATTCACCATTAGGTTTGGGACAAGTCAATAGTTCTCACGAAATTACCAAACCTTGCCTCTTGACACAAATGATGCATGTACATGTGCAATCTCAACAACTCATCACATAATTCAACATATTTTGATTGATCTTCACAATATTGCACAACATACATCTTTCATACCAATCAATTACATATACACAATCTCATAGTATAAATCATCTCAACACATCATTATAACATATAGTAATTAGATACAAATCATGCTATATTCAAACATCATCAAATTTCAACACTTACATACACAATTCAAGTGTTAAGTTTCTCATCAAAATGTTTCCAAAACCAATCCAAAATACATCGAATAAATTATTAAAATCCATGTAAATCCATGATAAATCATAACATACTGTGATACGGTGGGAGAACTGACTAGGAGTTTTGCGTTCGTATTCGCACTTGTGCGGTTGAGCAAGAGTCGCCACCGACTTTTTATTTTATCCTAAAGGAAAGGTTAAAAAAGCACAGCAAAAACCTTTTGAGATATTTCGTGGGTCCGGGGGGTAGATTATGAAAAGGGAAGGTATTAGCACCCTTTTCATCCATGGTTATCCATGGGCTCTTAGTTACTTGGTTTTTAGATCACTTGCCTTGATTTTCGATTGCTTGAAAATGGTGTGTGTGTGTGTGTTTTGAAAATGTTTTTGAAGAGATGCCTTGTCTTAGGCGACCAATGTATTTGACTCGTGTTTGAGTGTTTTACAAAAGTGTGGATCTTTTCGAAAAGACGTTTCAAAATGCTTTTGAGAGTTTGTTTGAAAGTGTTGTGGATTGTGGTTTTTGAAAAGAAGGCAAGCGTTTTTGCAAGTTGATCTCAAGTAACTAAGAGTTTTGTCTACCCTACTGTACTCAAAGGTTTTTGTTATGTTTTAAACCCTTTTTTAACAATTTTGTTCCACCATTGAATTTGGTGGACAATCTTGCGTTTAGGAAGTTTGTTCGGGACGAGCGCGGGTCATCGTATGGACCACGAATGCAATGGTGCCAAGTGTCTTTGGCAATTTGCTTTGAAGGGACTATGATCATTCCATTTAGGCAACATTCGAGAGCGTCATCGAGGGACTTATGATCATTTGAATTTGTTTTGCCAAAGATACTCGACGTGCAAGCATGACCCATTTTGGAAGGCAACATGTGGGATTACCCTAGGGGGTGCAAGTGTGATTGTGTATTGATTTCATGTATTTGTCTTGTATTAGGTTATCTAGCGTTTGATTTTATGTACATGCAAACCCTAGGTCTAACCATGGCATAATTGGAAAACTGTAAATTGCGGAAATGTAAAGTCTACGCTATTACAAAATAAGTATCCGGGAATGGGGGTACATGTGTATGAATGGGGATGAGACTTATAGTATCCAATAAGTTACAACCAAATCGAATTTCCGATCAAATGTAAATGACGAATATCAATGTATAAGATAAACAAGTGTGTATAGGAGCAATGTG